TGGGAGGGGTGGAATTTAATAAGAGGCATGGTGAGTATTTTGCAGATCTTGTTTGTTGCCACAAGATTTTGGAAAATGAAGAAAGAAAACAAAAACATATTTTTTTTCTTTTCCAAAACCTTGTGACAAAAAATGAGATCTACACAATACTCACCATGCCTCTAATTAAATTCCTTGAGGTGTCTACATTCCAAAAAGCAGTCATGTGGGGGGTTTTGTGCTATCCTGGCATTTCAAGGCCTCCGAAACTGTGATAGGTAGTGAGGAAGTGAAATTACAAAATTACACACTTTCAGGCTCTCAAAGGGGTCATTGGATTTCGAGCTCTTGTATTCAGGTACGCTCCCAAAAAGTCTCACACATGTAGTATCTCAATACTCAGGAGAAGTGGCAGAATATATTTTGGGGTGTAATTCCACATATACCCATGGCTTGTGCGAGCAATATACAATTTAAAAATGACAACTTTGTGTAAAAAAAAAATACATATTTTTTTAATTTTCCAAAAACTTGTGTTAAAAAAAAAAAAAGTATTCCATTGACTCAACATGCCTCTCAGCAAATAGGGATATCTACTTTTTAAAAAGGGTCATTTTAGGGTGTTTGTACTGCCCTGGAATTTTAGCACCTCAAAAAATGTGATAGTCAGTCGGAAAGTAAAAGCTGCGTAAATTCCAGTATCTATACCATAGTTTGTAGAAGCTATAACTTTCACACAAACCAATTAATATACACCGATTTGGATTTAGTTTTTTTTTTTACCAAAGACATGTAGCAAATACATTTTGGCTTAAATTTATGACAAAATTTGAGTTTTTGATATTTTTCACAGAAATGAGAAAATATATATATATTTTCAAAATGTTCGGTCTGTTTAAAGCGCAAAAAATATAAAACCCAGAGGTGATCAAATACCACCAAGAAAGCTCTATTTGTCGGGAACAAAATGACAAATTTAATTTATGTACAGCATTGCATGGCCACACAATTGTCAGTTAAAGTAGAGCAGCGCCGTATAGTAAAAAATGGCCTGGTCAGGAAGGGGATATATTTCAGTGGTTCTATTCTATTGTTTTTTTTTTCTATTATCTTCCATTCTATTCTAATCTCTCATATTTGAATTCAAATTTATTTTATTGGAAATTCGAATTTTGGAAGATTGTTATATTTTATTCTATTGGTTTTTCTATTCTATACTATTCTTTCATTTTCTAGTCTATTCGATTTCAGAAGACAGGCATATTCTATTTGAATTCTATTCTAATTTATTGTATTCAAAAATATTCCAAAGACGGTTATATTCAATTTAATTCTATTATATTGTTTTTTCTATTTTATTCTATTCTATTTTTAATTTTCTATTCTGTTCTTTTCTACTCAAATCTCTTCTTTATGAATTTATTCTTTTCGAAATTCATATTTCAGAAAAGAGTTATATTCTATAGTTTTTTTCTATTGTATTCCTTTATTTTCTATTCTAATCTATTCCTTTATTTTTATTCTATTCTTGTTTTCAAATTCAATTTAGTTTTCAAATACAATTCAAATTGAATTTCGGACACAATTTTGATTTGTTATTTCAGATTCCTTTAAATTTGTTACTATTTTAATTTGGAATTTGGGATACATCAGAATCTCTGAATAACAAAAAAATTTGTCCGAATTTTGATTCAGAACAAAATGAATTGCACATGTCTAGAGTTGACCATGTCAATGTCTAAATTGTTTATTTTATCAAATCTGTTATAAAAGATTACTAATGTTTCCAATAGTAGTTACTAAAATGTCTCTTTATAGTCTATAGCAAAATTACTCTCCTGCCTTCTGCCTTTTACTTTTTTAAATGGTAATAAATCTATGCTGTACTTACCTGACCTGCGAAAAGCTATTCTGGGCTTCTGCAAAGGCTTGTTCATGTAACCCACATAGGCAGTTCAGATAAAGGAGCTTTTAGGCAGAGATGTTGATTGTCTGGCCTTAAGGTTCCCTAAACCCTTTCAACTGTCATCATGAGGATTGACTGCTTCCAATTGATTAATGATTTGAGAGCCTAGAATTTTTTTTTACATTTTTATACATTAATCAATGCAATTTCAGAATAATGGATGAAGGTAATATTTAATGGGGTCAAATCAATCTTCGTTTTTGACTGATATTTCAGATGAACCTCAATTTTATGTTTTGATGGCCAAAAATAAACAGTTGTAGCCAATTTGGTATTTTCCATTTTTATATAAAAATAGGATGAAATCCTTAAGATGTTCTGTTCTTAGTGATCCATATGTAAAGTAAAACCAAGCTATCAACAGCTTTACCTACCTAAAAGGACTGGTGGTGATGATGATTTGTACAATCTGGAGATGTGGGCATGGGGACATATTGGGGAGTATGTAATAAAAAGGTTAAAGTGACCCTGTAACCACAAAGTAACAAAAATGGACAGCCCTGTAAAGAAGGTAATCTATACTTACCTTTCTTTTCCCATGTCTTAAATCATTGCAGCGTTACTCCTTACTGGCTTTTTCAAGTAAATAAAGCAGAACTTTATTATAGATTGTGAGTAGACAGGCTATTATCACAGAAAAGACTTGCAATGTTTCTTCTGTAATAAAATACACCTACCTGTCTGCTCACAGCGATCTCAGGCATATAAACTGAGCTGCACATGCGCAGCTCAGCTTATTGTCTGTGTGCTGGGATGACTGGTTCCCACGCATGCATACCCATAAAGAAAAAAATATATTTTAAAAATCTTCCCAAATATATTGCCATATATTTGAAATGCTACAATTTTGGCCATATTCAATATATTTCAACACACACACACACACTTTTATTACAAAATATATGAAAAATATTTTTAAAAATGCATTTCAAATATACTGTATGTCTTTTGAAATACAAATCTACATTTTGGAATGCATTTACAAATATATCTAAGAAGTAAAATTTTAAAATGACTTTTTTATATGTTAAAACAAAATCTGAAGAATGTACTTAAAAAAAAATTTTTTTAAAATCTATTCTTCAGATTTTTTTTAACATATAAAAAAGTAATTTTAGCATATATTTTTACATTAATTTGTAAATGCATTTCAGAAACGTAGATTTGTATTTTTAAAGACATACAGTATATTTGAAATGTATTTTTAAAAATATTTTTCATATATTTTGTAATAACGCATATCAACATGCAGTATATATATATATTTTTTCATTGAAATATATTTTGAAATATATTGAATATGGCCAAGATTGTAGCATTTCAAATATATGGCAATATATTTGGGAAGAAGATTTTTAAAATATATTTCAAATATATTTTTCTTCCATGTGGGTAGGAGTGATGTCACCATTCACCAGGCAATGGAGGCACCTGCAGACCTGCACACAGAAGATACCGTTGCTGGCGAAGGACAGGGAGTAAGTTCCCTTTAGTTCCACTTATTTTGCAGTTTTTTGGTAAAGTTTATCGTCATCAAAAAACTCATTTTATCTTTGTCTGTTAATAAAATGCCAATACTGCACTTAGGAGGCACCTTCTTTCCATGTCTTTTTGCACTAGAACTTGGCCTCCAACTCTATGAAGAGCTGCCTCAGTGTTTATTGGGCTTCCCTATCCTTGATATCCATTCTGGCGCTCCCCTAGTGGCAACAGAGGTCTGGTTGAAGCAGGAGCGCCCTATGGACCATACACTTTGTTTCCCAAAAAACTGCCTATGCAGATAAGGGACACCTGTAGATAAAAACAAACTGTGCAGCTTCGACTAAAGTTGGATAATGCCCTTGCTATAGGTGTAGGTTTTCAACGAGGGGCGTTCAAGTCAAACGGGGACATTTGATTTTACATAAAAAAGAACGAATTTCAAGGAGTGGAAACTGCATTTTTTTTATCAACATACTCCCCTGCTACATTTATACACTTATCCCAGCATTTAACTGATGCCTGGAAAACTTTGGCATAGAAAGATTTGTCAGTACAACTGAACCATCCTTGGACAGCCTATTTCACTTCATCATCATTGTGTTCACCGTTCCCACAGAAAGATTCGTCTCTTGTGCAATTTCACAGCAGATTATGCATCGACTATCCAGGATCAGGTGCTCCATGTGCTGAATGTTCACAGGAATGACTGTTGTGGGCTGGGAACCACCACGGCCAGGATCGTTACTGACAGACGTACGGCCATCTTTGAAATGTTTGCACGATTCAAATGTCTTACTGCGGCTGAGCGACTCATCACCGTACTTTGCTTGAAGTCTTCTGCAGATATCCACGAGTTTTGCACCTTCGTTTACAAGAAAAAAGGTACTCAGATTTTTTTTAAACTCTGCCATGATCAATCACAGTGGGGTGTTGGGAACAGTTTTTAATCTTCAAGTTTTTTTTTTAACTCTGCCATGGCCAGTCCCAAGCCCGTGCTGCGAAAATAGGAGGGTTGTGTGCTAACAGAGAGCAAACCAGTCCTGTAAAATCCATTTTCCCATACTGTTGCAAAGGACAAACAAGACAAATACTTTAACCACTTCAAGTCCGGACACTTATACCCCCTTCATGTCCAGGCCAATTTTCAGCTTTCAGTGCTATCACACTTTGAATGCCAATTGCGCGGTCATGCAACACTGTACCCATATGAATATTTTAGCATTTTTTTGAGACAGATAAAGCTTTATTTTGGTTGTATTTATTCACTTATTTCATTTATTTTTTTTGCTATATAAATGAAAAAGTCCAAAAATTTTGAAAAAAAGAGTTTTTCTTAGAAAAATTTTCTTCATAAATCTTGGCCAAAATGTATTCACTTATCTTTTTAGTAAAAAAAACAAAAATAACCCAAATTAGTTTATAACCAAAAATTATATATTTTTTATATTTTTATTTATGTTTTTTTTTCTACATACTGTCACCCTAGCAGTACAGTGTCACCATACTACTTGTGGGGGGTGATGAAGTTTTTTTTTTTTCACATTGATTGCTTTTACACTCATAAAGGCTGTAAAAACAATCATTTCTCCTTCTCTCTTGCTGCATTCTTGCAGCCATTGCAAACTACTGTGTGAGCTGTGATTGGTCACAGCTTGTCACATGGTACAAGGCTGTTGTGAATAGCCCTATACCATGTGACCTATGTGATCATTCACAGATTTCATACGTAGTAAGCAATGATGTGAGAAGTGACATCTTGGTTACTACTCTGCATGTGATCACTGATTGGCCCAATCAGTAATCACATGATCGGGACCTCGCACAGAGGTCCCGTACGACGATTGGTGGTCCACTGTGTCCGGAGGACAAAGCGGGGACCGGATTACGGTGCTGCGCACTCCCAGGGAGCGTGCACAGTCCAAAATTGTGGGCGCCATTTATGAATGGCAACCGCCCCTGGACTGCCACCGTCCGACCGTTTATATACAGCAGCTGGATGGCAAGTGGTTAAGATCCCCCAGTGTGACTACAGGGGACACTTTGCTTCTTGGAGATCCTTTTAGGAGGCAAGACCCGGTCACCAAAATATGCAGGTAAAAGCTCCAAAAATCAAGTATTGTAAATGCTTACTTGCATGTTTTATCCTTTTCATTAACAACTTTCATTGACTAGCTATGTGACTCTGAACACACTAGAAATTTTGACGAAATACGCAGAAAGAGTCAATCCCCTACCATGGATCCTCCTTCCTTGCATGCCATACCCGTCTCTTCCTTTGGAAGTGATTTATGACTGCCTGTGCTGGCCCAGCTCCTCCATCCATCCCCTCCCCCTTTAACTAGCAGCAAGGAGCAAAGGGAAATACTATAGATCCCTTTTGCTCAACCTGCGGCCCTTTGGCACTTTTTGTGCAGCCCTCAGGGCCCTTGCAGACACTGATCTGCTTCCCTTTTGCCATGTTAGAGCTTCGATTTCTCGGAGTCTCATGGAATATCTCTCCTGTCTATTACTGCCTCCCTGCTTCCTAAAGCACATCCACAGTCTGCAACTGCTCCTGTAGCAGTCTCTGACCATCTCTTGCGCCATGTCTGCAGTCTCTGACCAGGTTATTAACGTTTACAATTGAAAAAAAAAAGGTGTTTTAAAAAAATATTTGAAAGGTAATATTTATTGTATAGAATGCATGAAGGTAAAAAAAATCTTCAGCCTTTACAACCACTTGAAGGCTGACAACCGATTACATACCTAAGTGCCTATAGCCCTTTGGTCTTTTATTTTTGGCAAGTCATTCTACCCTTTGGGGCAATGAACACTTTGCACTTTATTATGTGGAGCACTTGAATATTGGTGAGAAGTGCAATTAGTATATTAATTGTCTGAAGGACTTTCTTTTGAAGATATTCAGTTTGTACTAAATCTTTGGCAATTTTAATGGTATACAGTATCTGCATAATATTTATTATAGCTGAAGGATATGGAAGAAAAAAAAGACAGAGACTTAATTTTTTGCACTATTGCACTTTATTTATAGGACATTACGCTCTTGTTTTTTTACACGTTGTATCACAGTATACTTGAAAGAAATTGTTCAGATTTATTGATAATTTGTACACACTGATTTACAATGTATTTTGGAGCACAGTGTTAATAATAGATGATAATTGGGCAGACTGAGGGGGTGGGGCTGGCTTTGGTGAGAGGCAGGGTTACACATTAGCAGCTGATTAGCAGGATTGAGGGGTAGGGGTTGGCTCTGGCAATAGGCGGGCCCCATTCTCGCATCTGATTGGCAGTGAAACATCACCAAAGGTTCTCAAGGCAGAAGTACTGTGTAAACAAGTGTATTGTGCCGAGAGCCTCAGACATCAGCTGACCACCCAGAGAAGCAGTACGGATTTGGCTGTTCTGCTTAAAGGGAACCGGAATCTGCTCCTTTTTACTCTTATACAACTTCACTCTGGTATCAAAGAAACATTCCAAAAGAAGCTGTAATGCCTATGAAATGTGTTGGCCTTGGACCGTTTGTTTCTTGGGTAATTTTTACAATAAGCATTGTTGCCCAAATGCCAGGGTCATGAGAAGTGACTGATGTCATTTCTCTAGGCTAAAAGAACAGAGTCACAAGATATTAGACTGCTTAAAGCAAGATAAGAACTTTTGTGGGATTGATCGTGTTTATGATATCTAGAAATGTTACATTAGGAGAAAACTTGTTTGTGCAATTAAAGATGCCTACTTGCTAGAGAAGTTAGAAATCTTTAGGAACCTTTCAGCTAACTCCTCCTGGAGTGGGTGTGGTGCCCGCCCACTTTGGTAAAGCTGCCAGGAAAAGGGTTCAAGAGCCAAGAGTTTAAACAGGATTGATGGAAGCCTTCCTAGTGAAAGGGGATGCTCTGACACTAGGACTCTTGCCAAGGCTATATGGGCTCATCCAAACTAAAAAATCCCAGTGCCAATCAAAGAAAGTATACAATTATGCAGCTGTGCACCAGTGAAAACCACCAATAATGAATAACACAAAAAACAGCGCAAAAATTAACACTAAAAAAAAACACTATCATCCAGGGTGTGTAGACAAGGAGGACATAAAGTGGTCTAGGTCTAGACTCCAGCTCCAAGAATGATATTCTCTGTGTGATATCATGTACATTCAGATAGATCTGTACAGAAGTCATAGTGACAAGCATTTCACTACAATGTCTACACATATGTCCAAGCAAGACATTGTAATGAGGGGCAAGGCATTCATTTAAAATGAGCTTGGCTCTATGAGAGGTATATCATGCCCCATCATACAATTTAATGTTTGAATATTTTATGCACAAGAAGATTTATTATAATAAGAAAACAAGACAGCTAGAAAGGGACTGATCACTTTTGTATTACTCCTCTTCCTTACTGAACACGTCTCCCTGCAGAGTATCACTGCTCTCCTTACCGATCACTTCTCCCTGCAGAGTATGCGCAGTGGTGTGGTGCTCATCGAAAAGTCCAGATTTCAGATCCATTTTTGGCATTGTGTGTGGTGACAGTGACAGTCTCTCCTCCTTAGTAAAAAACAAATAACTGCGCTAGAATGTAATAAGACAAAAAAAAATAAAATTAATAAAAAGCAGCTGACAAATACAGGCAATATTGAAAAATGTAAATTAGAAAAGGGATAAAGAACAGGGATAACTCATAATGCAGTAATCAATATAAACTCTGGCCAATTTAGTAAAAGATCCATGTACATCAAATCATAAAATAACCAGCATTGAATGAACCAAAGTTTCAAACCAAGAAAATGGCCACTGTCCCTCCAGAACGCGATGACGTCACACGCCGAAGCTTATCCCTTTTTTGATTGCCAGATGGGAGATGCTTTAAAGTTTGCAAAGTTCAAAGTGGACCATTCATCTTATATTTGCAAGAGGATTTTGTGGATTACATACCATTCTGAGTCCCTATTACATTATTATACAGGCTTTATATAGCGTCGACAGTTTGCTCAGCACTTTACAATATGGTGGGAGACAGTACATGAGACAGTACAGTAACAATACGATTCAATACAAGAGGGGTTCATTACATCATTCTCACTGATCGGTGTTTTAGTCCAGTTTGGGGATCTTTCAGAGCGGAGTTATCATCCAGTACCTGGGAGGGGATATCCATTGGAAATTATTTGCCATACTGATCCCTCAGTATACTGCGCATACTGACCGCTGTATATGGTCAAAGAGTCCGGTAAGGGGCCATTTTTTTCCGGGTGTATGGTGACGGTATGTGGGCTCAAGATTTTTCTCCTTTATTTTTGTTCCATTTTCTTTGAGTATTTCTATGGACTTTAATTTGGACATTATTATTTAGTTAATTAGTGCTGCATTCCTTTGTTTACAGTCTCTCTCTCCTCCTTGTCTTCCTCCAGGTCTCCAACTCCAACTGAGTCAGGCAATCTCATGAGCCCTGGGTGGAAAGGGGGGGGGGGGTTGGAGGTCTGCTGGGGGCAGTATCTTTGGTCTGTTTGCTGGTCATGGGGTAAGGACATGCTCCCTGTCTGGCTTTGCAGTCTCTCTGGAGGGACAATCATGGGGAACAGACTCAGAAACTGCTTCACATAATTGCCCCCACAGAGAGAGACAGACTGCACCTGCTCCACATAATAGCCCCTACAGAAAGCGAAACTGCACCCCTGTGGGGGCACTTCTGTAGAGCAGTCTCTCTCTCTGTGGGGGGCATTCGTGCTGTGGGGGGCATTCATGTGGAGCAGTCTCTCTTTCTGTGGGGACAATCATGTGGAGCAGTCTCTCCCTCTCTCTGTGTCGGGATAATCATGTGGAGTAGTCTCTCTTTCATGGATATAGGTGACAAAAAAACTGATGGGTTATAATAACCTGCCCCTTAGTATACCAAAAATAAGTGATATGTTTTTTACCTTCAGATCTACTTTAAAGTGGTTGTAAACCCTTACATATACCCAGTGAAGTGACTGGCCTCAGGTGATACACAGAGATGAAACAAATACTCCTACATAAGTTGTACCTGTTTATCTATAGCCGTCTGTCCCCTACATGCATTCAAAGTTCAGAATTTACACAGTACCTCTCAGCTCTGAGAAGCGGGGGAGCTGAAGTGACATCAGTGAGAGCTGATTTAAGAAAAGGCACACCCCCCCTCTACACAGCACATAGGAACAGAGCTGAGGTTGTGAATCACAGGCTGTGCCCTTCCCTGTCACCAATTTTTTCTTGCTGTTAGGAAAATCGTCAGAAGTGATTCATGCTTATAGCAGAGTAATGAGGCAATGGTTTGAGCAGGATTGAGACAGTATAGAGGAATATGATTTGTTCATATTTCATGTCTGAGGTTTACAACCACTTTAAATCACATTGATAATTAAGTGTTCTTGCAAGAACACTTACTGTTATCTCACATATATATTCTTATTCTTATTATAGCCAAATTTACCACCCTAACTCCTCCCACAGTTTTTACACTACATAGACAAGTAATATACCGAAACGTGTGGATTGTTCCCGATTGGTGTGCTATTACTTTGTGGAACGTTTCCCCGAATGGTTCACAAAAATATTGCCATTTTTGTGGTGAACTTTTCCCATAGGAATGAATGGTGGAATGTTCAAAACTAGAGTGTGAGCTGACAAAAGCTAGAGTGTGAGATGAAAAATCAGGACATGATTTCTAAACTGCCATCACTCCCTCATTTTCAAGCCCACCTTCACATATCTTATATCAAAACATTCAGCTATCCCTGCTGCCACTAAAAATGTCCACGACTAAGCCATAGTCCTGATAGTTTTCACAATATGACCATTTGTTTGCAACTCACGCTGCCCCATGACATTCATTGAAAATCTACTCTAGACACCTGAAAATTGAAGGGCAATATTTAAACTGCAACTGTGCCTTCATTTTAAATATTTCAGAGACAAACTATGCA